TTGTCTAACAAACGTATGGCATAAGATTTTAGCTTTTTGCTTTGCCAAATATGCCAGTTGATCTAATGAAGCAATTTAAAAATAGATTTGAATTTTTCAATAAGTCTATGAGATTCTGAGTGGAACGATGAATGTATTGATTTTACAATGATGGGTGTTTTTTTTTTCTTTGTGTCTATCGTCACCTTTTAGGACAGTAAAAGTGCTTGGATTTTCTTCAACAGTACCTTTTCTGATAGGAAAGTGAATCTAGTTGGTACTTTGGGGGGGTTCAAAAGTAAAAATTGTCCAGTAGTTTTCAAAAGCGCGGTGATAAACAAAAGAAAAATTAAGGAAAAACGGGAATTTTTACGCAAAATCTGTATTCGAGAAACAAATCGATTTTGGTTTTTGGTGTAACTCCAAAACAAATGAACGTATATACATGCAATTTTCACTAGTTGTTTATATTTGCATTTTCTATACACGATAACATTTAAAAAATATTTTGATTTATTTTGAACTGTTTAGGCACATTTTCATTTTCCATTTTTTTTAGTTTTTTTTTTCTAAAAATATCAATACAATTTTATTTGTTGGTTAAAAAAGCTTGAAAATTTAATACAAAGCTCCTACTATATTGTTACATCGGCATTTGAAATACATTAAAAATCCTTCATCACAGTTAGTTTTTTATAAGCATTTAAACTTTAAAGTCCAAAAATTGACAAAATATGGAAAAATCGCGACAATTAGCAAATTATTTTGAGTTTAGAATTTTAAAAATTTTTCTATTTAAATCTAAGATTTTAAAATGTGATACAAGATTCCTTACAAGATTATCTACCTTTATCAAGTAATTAATGTCTATAAGAAAGTCAAATTAAATTTTTATGAGTCTTTGAAATTCAAATTTTTACAATATTGGATATTCACTCGATTTCTCGTGTAGCGATTTCCTTATTTTGTTGTAATTCAAAAACGAATAACTGTAGATACATGATAATTTTGTTGAATGTTTATTTTATCGATTCTTTTACGTGATAAAATTTTCAAAATATTTTGACTCGTTTTGAGCTGTTTACGGACATTTTCAGTTTTCAATTATTTTAGTTTTTTTTTCTATAAATATCAATTAAGTTTTATCGGTTGGGCCAAAAAGTGTAAAAATTTAATACAATGATCTTGACATATTGTTACAATATCAGTTAAAAAATATTAAAAATACATAGTCACAATTTTTTTTTAAGCATTTAAAGATCAAATTTCGACCAAATTTATCAAATTTAAAATTCAATAATTATTGTTTAGTTAAAAATGTATAAAGTGTTCAATTTTTATATCTAAGGATTGAAAATTTAAAACAAGATTCCGCGTAAGTAGTTAATTCTGTTACCTAAAAAAAAAAAAATACATACTCACAGATTTTTATAGTCATTTTAAGTTCAAATTTGGATGAAATTACATAAAAAAAGTCTAGAACAACTATTTTAGTTATTTTGTTGTGATTGTGTAATATTATTCGTGGGTTCTTGAAATTTCTACTGAAAGTATCAGGGTTTGTTGTTGATGTATAACGTGTTATAAGTACCTAATTTATATTGTGATATGATTAATTTGGAATTTATGGTAGGTACCTATAATAGGTCAATTTTTTTTAATACCATAGATAAGTATATAATATGCCTTATACCTAGACTGACATACAGTCTCCGCTCAGAATCGTTTTTCTTATACAATGATATTATATCATTTAATTCAAATTTAATATCATCCATTATACAGTGACCTACTTGTTACCTACTGTACATCAGAGTACCTTTTTGAAATTGACTTTACCACATTTTTGATATTTTCTCCCCAATTCCTAAAAACATTGTATTGAAAAAAAGAAATATTACTATAAAGTAGGTAGTCACATTTAAATTTCTGGAGAAGTAAAATCAAAAATGTGTAAAGTCGATTTCAAGTATGTTTGATAACAAATTCAAATTTGTTTTTAGAATTTAATTGCTTCATTAGATCAATTATGTTTGATAACAAATTCAAATTTGTTTTTAGAATTTAATTGCTTCATTAGATCAATTCCACGCCCCATTTCAGAACTGCAACAACTCAAAAAATTGGTTCATTGGGTATAATGTGTTTCTCTATGTAACAGAATGTAAACTATAATATTTAAAATGCCCTCTTGTGGTCAATAATTTAACTATATTTTATTGATCTCCAAAACCACCTAAATGACCTATCATACTGGTACTCTCACTGGCGTGTCAAAATAAACAAAAGTAAATCTGTACACACTACCTTTGCTCTTCGCCACAGCCAACCTCCTCCAGTGCAAATAGACAACAAACCTATACCACACTCCGATACAGCAAAACATCTAAGTCTAGTTTTTGACAAACGTCTAACGTGGGCCAAACACATTCATGCAACAAAAATTAAATTAAACAAACGACTCTACGCTCTCAGACCCATCCTTGGTAAGTTCTCAAAACTATCCCTCCAAACCAAAATTCACATATATAATCTCCTCCTTAAACCATATGGTAATATGGCATACAGGTCTGGGGCACTGCCAAAAAATCGAACATTCAAAAAATCCAAGTGTTCCAATCCAAAATCCTCAGACTTATAACCAATTGTCCTCCTTATATCTCTAATCACACCCTTCACACAGATCTCCATATTCCTAAAGTCACTGAAACAGCCAAGTTATTTTACTCCAAATTCAGAAACTGCCTTCATAACCACACAAACCCTCATGTTAAAAAGTTACTATCTATCTCCATCCCTGGAAATCCCCCTAGAAGACTCAAGCGACAATGGCCTCGAGATCTTACAAATTAAAATCATAAATAAATTGTAAATTCACGCCGAAGTGCCTTCGCTGGTTGGTTCTTCCCTCAAGATATTCACGCTCATAAATTATAATTTTAAAAATAACCATCATTTATGCTTATTGTACTTTTTTTTTTATGTACAGATTGTATAGTTTCTAGATTAAAAAAAAAAAAAAAAAATATTTTATTGAGCTCTTGAACTGAAATCATCATATGGTGACGGTGTGCATTACTGTTTTTATTATTTTTTAAGTTTTTGCAGTTTTGAAATGGGACGTCCAATTGGTATGTTTGGCAATGGACACATATTAACAATATATTTAAATTTTAAAGTGAGTTATGTGTATTTTAAGATGTTAAAACAATTTACAATTTTAAAATATTCATAAGTTGCATTAAAATTAAAATATAATAAAAAGCCCGTGAGGTTGTCTAGATAATAATCTTGCCTTTAGATTTTATAAGAGGTCAATTCGGTCTAATGTTTAAACTAGAGGAGCTACACATGTTCTACTGAGAGTAAAATTTGCTGTTACACACTTGTACAATACATCCAAGTATAACATATTTACGTCCTCTTAAACCTGATTTAAATAGTTAAACAAGTTAACTATGATATTATATAGGTGATTTTGAATATCTATTTTTTTTCAGCTGTGTATCTATAAATAAAAATATGATATTTTTTAATTATATTATTCATTGTGACACTAACAATATTTAGAATATATAAAAATAGACTATTCAAACCTAGGAAACCTTGTTATTCAATCATCATCTGTTTTTAAAATTAAAATCTATCAAACGAAATTCCTTCAGTCTTTTGTCTTGTTTTTGAGTCTAAAAGCCACTTTTTTCCATTGACTTATTGACTAATAACTTATTTGGTGTAATTCAATAATTGTATAAATTATATTCTGTGAAATTATACTCAAAAGAGTACATACCTGTGTATACTTTTTTCAAAAATTAAGTGCCTATTATAATAATTATATACAATAAATTATCCTTGAAATTATATCTACACCTACTATAACGGATAGAGAATATCCCTGAGAATATTATAATTATATTACCAATATCATTTCAACGAAAAAAATAGCTTTATTTTGATTGATTATCAAATTTTTGTGAAAAATATACTTTATGGTATTTTAATTGTTAAAAATAATTTTAAAAAGTATTTAGAATACTTAAAAAATATTTAAAAAAATTTGTATTTAGAGTTTCATGAAAATACTTATATTCGAATACTTTATTACAAGACTGATAGTAAAATTGTTTTACCTAAATCAGCTATGGTGAATAACAAGAAAATAGTGTACACTGACATAATGGTAACAGTGAAGAAATAGTTCCTTTTATTATTTACAATGATTATGATTTATTATAATATATAAAAAAAATAATAATAATAGTATTAAAAACACTATGGCTGATGGCTTTTTTTTTTTTACAAGGAGTTATAACGAAGTGTTTTTGGTGTGATATCAGCTATTTTTTTTTATGAAAGTCTCGTTTTTATTTCACTGTATATAATAATAATAATATATAATAGCATATGCATCGTTGTTATAATATCTCTTTTTCTATTTTAGTTTTTTTTTCTTAAACTAACATAAATATGATATCGTTACATCTAACCCATATTTTTTTATGGTTTAATAACTGATGTAACTAATGGGCTTGAGTCATAGATGGACCATGATGGCAAATCACAGAATTAAGAGCATATAATTTGCCACCGACCTTAATTGTTGCCACGGGTAATGAATTAATCACCAGATTGCTTATTTTATTTTATTAGATCATAAGGAACCAATACCCCAATCAGCTGATCGAGTTTCGCTTCTATAATGTTCTATGGTTATACGTTAGTAGCTACTCCGCTATTTTTTTTTACTTAGCTCCGCGCCACTACGTCGCGCTGGATGTACCGCTCCCGCGTAGACGATGGGCGTGGTTACGGCCTACCGCGACGGCGGCATACGGCGCACAACGCCATCTAAGCTTTGTATATTTTTCACTCTTAAACAACATTTTATGGTGTGATAGTATTTACTTTTATTCCACTACTATTTATTTTAGATTTGCATAATTGCATATGTTTTGTATCTTACTTTTATCGTAGCATAATATAGAAATTAAAACTTTATTTCAGTAGATTTGTTCCAAATGGAACCCATAAGACCATCAAGGGGAAAAGCCCGTGGACGTCCTCAATTCCCAACTATTCAACCAGGTGTATCAGGTTTATCAAATTTACCTCCTCAAGGAATAAGAGGACCTAGACCACCCATATCTCAGCCAATACCTTCTTCACAGCCAATATCTTCTTCACAGCCAATATCTTCTTCACAGCCAATACCTTCTTCACAGCCAATACCTTCTTCACAGCCACTACAAACACCAGTTACGAGTACAATGCCACGGCCACCTCGTCCAATGCCACCACGACCTACTGGTGCACCTCAGCAAAGAGCCCCTAGGCCACTAGGGCCAAGACCAGGGATGTCTACTGATAATTTACCAAGACCTGGGATGTCTGGTGATAATGTACCAAGACCTGGGATGTCTGGTGATAATGTACCAAGACCTGGGATGTCTGGTGATAATGTACCAAGGCCTGGAATGTCTGCTGATAATAAAGCCCTTAAACAAGACCCTATGGCAGGAGTAAGAATCTATTAAAATTTCATATTATTTACATATATATTTATATGCAATTTTTTTTAAGGTGCAACAAATTACAGAAGGCCTCAAAAATTTGGGTGCAGGTAATATATCTTTTATATAGTCTGTTTTAACCCTTTCACTGCTATGGACGTACTAGATACAGACATATTATGTTCCTTTTTTCATATAATAAAATGGATAAAAAATAACTAATTTAACAGTAAAAAAAAGTTTCTGTGTTCATTTTTGTATTAATGATACACATTTTAAATCATTATTATTTATAGTGATGACCAAAATGATACCACTTCTAACTAGAAGTTGTCTAGCCCTTGCTGGCCCTGTTGGGTACCGTTGTCGTATAAACATAAAAATGCAAGCCAATAAACATATTTTTTGAATTTCTAAATAATATGGCTTAACAAAATTAAATTTATCATTTAAGAATATGAGAAAAAAAAATTTGAAATTAATTTAGCAGAGAATGGTATTTTAGGAAAAAAAGCTTAGCAGTGAAAAGGTAAAATTAATAAAATCTAAATGACATAACCAACTTATGTCTTATACATTTAAGGAGATGCACTAGTACCTTTAGGACGCGGATCTGTCCGAGGGCGAAGGCAGATTGATCTTGAACATTTTAGAACACCAAGACCTCAATCATCATTAGGCGATATTGGAAAACAGGGTAAGGTTTAAAATTTAAATATTTTAATACAATTTTTATTTTATTTTTTGTAATATCTAGAAAATATATTGTACATTTATAAGAAAATTGTCTAGAATGTAAGGTTAGGTGTGAACAACACTGTACAAAATAAAAAAAAGCATATATTTTAATTACAGTTGCTGGATATAATATGCCAAAATATGTGATTATTTCTCCAAAACATTTTTGCCACATTTCTACAACCTTGATCTCCTTGACGTTGTAACCTTCCTTTCTGGTCAGTCTTCTAATATATACAATTTATATTATTTTACATAGTGCCCCTACATATTATAATTTATAGAAAGAAATCGATTTTAAAATACTAGCTGGCTCGTGTATTTTAAAATGAACTATACTAAAATATGTTTGCACCAAGGGATTTGAAATAATTAATTTTGAATTATTTAATTGATATTTAAGGACCCTAATTTCAATGCTCTAACAAAATATTTTTAAATAAATTAATTCACTTTAATTATTTTTAAAGAACATAAATTATATATTGATATAAATAAATATAAAAATGTGAATAAAGGTATACCTTGGTGTTTTCAACATATAATTTTATCAACATTTTATAACTGAAAAAAAAAAAAATTAAAATATTTATTGTGAAATAAATATTTAAATTTATTACACTGTACAATAATTGTTTCTCTAATATTTAGAAACTAAAATGACTTATGTTTGACGACTACTAATAAGATTTTATTGACCATAAATTATCTCTTTATTATTTCTAATATTCAACTTATTTCCTTAATCTTTTTAAAAAAAATTTAGGTTTATTTATTTTTCAATATGGTTTAACTTTTTCTTTATAATTTCTACTGACCATCTAAAAATAACCTGAAAAAAATCATAAACTATTTAAAATGCTATACGAGGTAATAAATCTAATAAAAATACCCTAATAAAATGTGGTCTATGTATATGTAATTGATACACATTATAGTTGGAAAGCATCATGTCAAGCATTCCATAAACATAGAGTAAATGTACATTATACAATATATACTTAACCAATAATAATAATTATTTGTTAATTGATTTAATGGAATAATTCACTAAAATTACTTATAATATTACATAAGTTCTAAGGTAAAATTAATGATTGTGCCAAATTGATTTTATTGAAATGTTATAAAGTAAAATTAAAAATTTAATTGTGATTATGAATTATATATATACTTCAGGAACTTCTGGACAGCCAGTAAAATTGTTGGCAAATTATTTTCCTATCACCTCGTATACTAATTGGTGTTTGTATCAATATCGGGTTGACTTCAGTCCTGAAGAAGATAGAATTAGTTCTAAAAGAGGATTATTAGCGCAGCACCGAGACCTTTTAGGAGGATATTTGTTTGACGGAACCATGTTATTTTCTGGCACCCGATTTGATCCACAAGTAAGTTGTTGTATTAAGTTAACCCTTTCTCACTGCTTCAGACGTATTATTAAGCTCCTGTATTTTATATTATAATTTTCCGTTTTTCCGATAACCGTAAAATAATAAAAAAAAACCTAAATCACATCATTTTAAATTCAAATAATTAGATCATAGAGATCTCAAAATAATATTAAAAAAATATATTTTATTGTATGTTACATACACAGTTGCAGAGCATAAATTAGTGAAGCAGTGAAAAGGTCAAATGTTTTTATTTTATTGGTTATTATTGTAATAATACTATTACAACAACAACCAAGGATAATCAAGAATTATTATGCCAAGAGCTAAATAAAAAATGTATATAAATGATGACCACTAAATAATGTTTAAGTACTGCTAGCTTATTACCATAAATTGGTTCATTAAACGTTAGGTGATTATCAATTAATTAGATAGTTAGAAATCAATTGTAATATTTTGTTTTAGACTTTTGAACTTACATCTACACGTCGCCATGATGATCAAATTGTAATAATTTCAGTGAAATTCACGAATGTTATAGAAACTGGTGATTATGCCAACATTCAGGTGTTTAACTTACTTTTGCGTAATTGTCTTCGACATCTTAAATTAACATTGATTGGAAGAAACTTTTATGATCCAGATGCCAAAGTAAATTTGTAATTCTATAAGTATTTATTGGTTATTTATTCGACCCCTTGGTTTTAGATTGATATGGCTCAACATAAGCTTCAACTTTGGCCAGGTTATGAAACAACTATTGGCAGGTATGAAGATAACATTTTACTGTGTGCAGAAATTTCAACAAAAGTAATGCGTCAAGAAACAGTATTGGACTTTTTAAATCAGTGTGCTGCTGATAGAAATAGAAACAAAGATTGGATGGTGTGTTTGTTATGATTTTGGAGGATTTCAGTTTAAAATACCTTAAATGAATAATTAAATGATTAATATGTTTTATTATTTAGATCAATTTTAAAACTGGTGTCGTTGGTACCACAGTTATGACAAAATACAATAATGAAACTTACAGAATTGACGATATAGATGAAGGTTCTGACCCTAATTCTGAATTTAGTAAAAAAGATGGGTCTAAAATGACTTACATCCAATATTACAAAGAAGTACATAACTATAATGATTTATTTTAATTATTGTCGACCTAAATTAACATAATATTGATTACTGTATTAGAAATGGAACATAACAATTCGCGGTGGCAGACAACCGATGTTGATTTCGAAAAATAAAAAATCTGTAAGACGATTTGGAGCTGAAGATACGTTGGTGTACCTTGTTCCAGAACTATGCATCATGACTGGTATAACTGATGCTATGAGGTAGATTTAAATTTGTATTTTAATTCAAAACTTTTTTTAATTCATCTTGTTTTAAATTATAGAAATAATTTCACACTTATGAAAGATATGGCCATACATACCCGTGTGAATCCCAAAGAACGCATGGAAAGATTAACGAACTTTGCAAATAGACTTCTTTCTACACCAGATGTAATTAATTATTTATATAGCTAGTTAAATTTTTTTTTTTAATTTTGAGTTCATTTTTATTTAAGTCTGTAACTGAATTGAAAAGATGGAATCTGACATTAAGTAACAAGTTGGTTGAACTCACTGGACGTACATTACAACCAGAACCAATTCAAAGTCGTACTAAAGGCTATAATGGCGGCGAAGAAGCTGATTGGACAAAGCATTTACGCTCTTTACCAATGTTTACCTCTGCCACTGTAAAGAACTGGGTAATATTAGCTCCTAAAGACTGTTGCCGTGAAGTAGAAGCATTTGCTCAGAGTCTACAAAAAGCAGCACAAGGAATGACATTCGTATTGCCCAGGCCTGTTATGTAAATATTTTTTAAATTTATTTATTTTGTGAAAGCTCACAAATATAATCTTTAGATTTCCTATGGTTGATGGGAGGTCAAATACATTTTTGAACGATCTGGAAAAAGTAATTAATGAATCGAATCCTTCATTGATTTTATGTGTCATTCCGTCGGCGCGTGGTGATATTTATAGTATGATTAAAAGAAAACTATGTATTGATAGAGCAGGTATATTTCTAATATATATGATAATGATTTTATAAAGTTAAATGAATTTATAATGAATATTTATTTTCAGTACCATCCCAAGTAGTACTGTTAAAAAATGTGCAAAAGAACAATTTGTCTGTTTGTACGAAAATTGCTATACAAATAAATTGTAAACTTGGAGGTGCACCTTGGCTAGTTACCATTCCTAAAAAAGTAACTTAAATGAAATGGAGTATATGAATTAAATTGTAATTACTTATATTCAATTTCTTTTTTAGGGGATGATGATAGTTGGTTTTGATGTATGTCATGACAGCCAGCGGAAAAACATATCATTTGGAGCTTTAGTATCAACCATGAATGATGCTCATACAAGTTACTTCAGTTGTGTGGAACCACATGAAAGTGGAGAGGAACTCTCTGTTCATTTTGCTACAGGCATAAGCAGTAAGTATTTGTCAATTGAGTTTTTTATTAGTTTACTTTTGTGTACTTTACCAGATTTTTATGTAGATTTTTCTGATTTTTGAGAATGCATTATATTATTAAGTTACTAACTAAAATATTATATTAAGTTAAAATTATATTCCATTTCTCAGTCACAACTGTATCAATTTACCAGTAGTTGGCTTGATCAAAAAATCCGCTTAAAGCTATTAAAGTACTACAATGTACCGCTTTAAGGTATCAAATTTTTGGATCTCATTTTTAGTTGATTAAATATTAAAAAAAATACCAAATAACTGGTTTAACACTAACTAAATTTCACACCTGTGAGCCGTGAATTTAAAACACTCCCCTCAAAATTAGTATTACTCAGGTAAGTAGGAATCTTCCAACCAACTACTTATAAACTGCATAGGACAATGAATAAATATCATTCAGTTTCTCTATTCAAAAGTATGATTAATAAGTGTTGTAATTATTATTAAACCCCAAAATACTGAAATTTGATATAATTTGGATTTTTTTTTTAGGAATTTGTTAGTTGTTTAACTCTGATGTATCCTCTTTGTTATTGTCTCATAATTATTGTAGAATTATAAATTTAATTATTAACTGTATGCGAGTAATATAAGTTATAAAAAATTGATTGTATTTTTCAGAGGCATTGGCCAAGTATAGGGCTAAAAATGGTGCATTACCATCTTCGATAATTGTATATAGAGATGGTGTTGGAGAAGGCCAAATATCACATGTCCATAAGACAGAAGTTAGACTTTTGCAGGTAGGTTTAAATTATTTTAAATTGTATATTGTAGTTAATTTTTAATTTTTTTTATAGACTGCCTGTGAACAATTTTATGGGGGAAGTTCTGTCCCATTAGCGTTTGTTATAGTCACGAAACGAATTAGTGCAAGATTTTTTACTCCTAGTAACAGAGGGCCTGAAAATCCTCGACCCGGTACAGTTATTGATAGCGTTGTTACAGACCCAACTAAGTAAGTCATACACAAATTATTTAACCTTAATTTGTACATTTCAATTAGATCAAAGTAATTTAATTCTATTATATTGACATTTTGTAATTTTTATTACAATTACTTTTGTTTGTCATAAAGTATAGCAGAAGTACCTATATATATGTATATAAAAAAAAAATAAATTTAATACTTAAAATCATGAATTGCAGGTATGATTTCTTTTTGGTATCACAACATGTAAGACAGGGTACTGTAACTCCTACACATTATCAAGTTATTGAAGACACACTTCGACTTCCTCCAGATATAATGCAGAGACTTACATTCAAGTTGACCCATATGTACTACAATTGGTCGGTAAGTATACCTTTTGGTGTGTTAATTTTTTAATGCTTATACCCATGCATTTTGTTTAAATCATTCCTAGGGTACGGTTCGAGTTCCTGCTCCATGTCAATTGGCTCACAAGTTGGCATTCCTCACTGGACAGAGTCTCAGACGTTCACCCAACATTGGATTGGATGAGTTGTTATACTTCCTTTAGTAAACTTTTTTCCTTATAATATGATTGATGTGTATAATGATAATTTTTTTTATGAAGAAGTCTTAAAATTTTATTTTGTTTTTAAAAAGTATTTTTATTTGAAAGTAAGTTACTTATTATTTTTTTTTGTTATCATTTGATAATTATTAACTGTATTTTGACAATGCAATTAACAATTATCATTAAAATTTCGACTTATTATTTTAACCGTTTTAGTATTATTGATTAATAATAATAAACATTTAGTGTTATATTTCATTGTTTGTTTCTTTGTGCTTAAAATATTATTGGTTTAACTCATACAAAATATCGATGGTTAGAGGGTAAAAGGGCGTACCCCACTTTTTTCAAAATCAATGTTTTTGCATATTATTGTAAACGGCATTATAATATATTGATTAATTGAACTTAAACATCGTTATCATTTGTATATATCCAAGAATTTATGTTTTAATATGTGGTCGTAATCGGCACATAATTGGTGGGAATGAAAAAATTTGGTGTAAACGTCAATAAAAAGATTTAAACGCCATTAAAGGAAACTTGATAAGACTTAAACGTCATTGTTGACTGTTACATCAATTTATCATTTTTGTTAGTGGTTATGTGAGCACTGTTAAAAGCATTAAGCGACATGATAATACAATGAACGTTCGGCTCGTTTGAACTGAACAATAAGACTGATAGGTACCACTGTACCTGAAACAGTCAAACACAAAATCGAAATTAATTTAAATATTAAATTGTAAGTACACATTATTTAGTTGTTAGAATGGTTAAGCTCATTGAACTCTAATAAATAATTGTGTTACACTTGGTAACAACGTATTTATTGTATTTTTTTTATTAACATCTTATTTTCCTATGATAATATTATCTAGTTAATCAAAATGCAGAGTTTACGTTTGAAACGATTAGACATTCGTGTCAAATGTTTTTACATAAATAAGTCATATTTACCAAAAAGAGTCATGAATTTATGTTTAAAGTTAAAACTTGTTTTTGTTAATTGTTATTATTACTAATAATTAACTAAATTTGGGAATTATTTCTTTAATTATTATTATTTTTATATAACAGTTTGTTCATTGTCATGTTTTAAATTGCTTTAACATTTATTATTCTTACTTAAAAAGTAATACGTAATAATTGCAATACATTATATTTATAATTTTAATATAACATAAAAACTAAAGAATAATAAAACTATTATAATAATAGAAAGCTTATTTTATTTAACTGACCTCGACACCAGAACATAGTGCATTATATTATTCATTATTATAATTATCCTGGGTTTGATTAGGTACCTACAAGAAAAATGTTCGAAAATAAATAATTTTATCCCAGGTAAATTATTTGGCTAATATTCAGTTTTAAGGGGGCTACACCGTAGCATATTTTAAGGAGTACTATTTAGGAAATTCATGTGACATAAAATTAATACTGGATCTATGTGTGACTAGTAAATGAACATAAGTGTGCGTAATCCGTTATCGCGTTGGTCGCGCGAATTCTGATAATTCGGCGGGCCCATGAACGGGTGTCTTCTCAGTTAGCAGTCTTTGTTATCATTCATATACGAGTATTCATAACAAAATAATAATGTAAATAATTATATTATTATCTTGTTTGAGGTTTGTCTGTGTCTTTCAATGTTTTACTTTTAAGTTTTAACTGTTTATTTAAACATTTATTACTATATTATTTTATTGCAATGATGACTGCTACAGTACAGTATGGAATTAATTGCATTGTAACCTTATGTAATAATAAGATGTCGGAAAACCGGCGAACTAGTTATTTCTCTTTTCCTAAAGATCCAATCAGATAAAAAATGCAATATAAATATATCAATATATAATATTTAATCTTATATAACAATTATTATAGATGAAAACATACTATAATAATTATGTATGTACCTATTTCATCAGTCATATTTTTTTATAATTATATTTAGGTATGTCATCTCAGGATAAAATTTTAATCTTACCATTGACATCAGATGATATTCCAAAACCATGTACTCTATACTAAATACACAAATATATTATGATTCTGAACAATTAATCAATACAAAATACGTAAAAACTCATTATAAATCATATTAAGTCTCAGATCGAAGTGTTATACGATGTTCTAAGGTTGTAACACAGTTCATATGAAAATATCTGTTTTTCGGCTCTCTTGAACAATTTGGAAATTGGCGTTTACGCCCTTTTACCTTCTAGCCATCGATATGTGAAATTTTTCTTCAGAACAGTCTAATATTTTTACATAATTATTACATATAATCAAACATAACAATTAAAATTTCCAAATTTAATGTTCATTGAAATTATTTACTGATAGTAATTATAATGGTGGAGCTTGAACAAACTAACTTTTTCTTGATTTAAGGTGTATCAATTCCGCCTGTTTTTATGTGAGAATTTTTAGTGAGATTCATTTTAATTTGCCAACTAAAAAAAAATGTTTTGCATCGCTCGACAACTACTCTCTAGTCTCTACTTACATAGGTAGTAGTCAGTAGTCACTAGACATATAAAATACAGTATTACAAATATATAATATATTGTATTATGTCTCCCATTTTAATATCTCTTATATATAAATATTTTAAAATATATTTTCATAAACAAAATTTATAATGTTTTCATATATTATTTATTATGCTATTATAATTTGATAATATAATACAATTACTATATTATATTCAAATAATAATTGTTTCTACCAAAATAAATTTGTGTAATACGTCTTATTATATATTTTATAATAATATAATTAATATTTGATGTAGGTACTATTTTATTTATATCTAATTCTTCAATAGGTAATTTCTTTTTTTACTCCCAATACAATTTATGTATTTAATCTCTCATCAGCAATAGTTGTTGACCTAAGATATGTTATAATCAATTTTAGTAGGTATACTAAACATTTTTTTGTCTTATACAAATGTTACAAGAGTACCTAGTCAAGGACAAAGACAAATTTGATTAGCGCATGGTTATGTAACGAACTGGGTGGCTTGGTACCTACTATCGTAGTGATAATAGTAGATAAGTGGCTACCAGTCACGATTATAAAGAAGTTCTTTATAATCGTGCTACCAGTACGTTAATGTGCAGGTCGCAGACACTTCTTCAGATAATAAAGTCGTGGTTGATGAATGAATAATAAAACAGTTGTTGTATATTGTGAATTTTATTATAACACTCGATAATTTTACTAAGTTCAAAATATTGTTGTACAGAGTGGCGTGAAGGTGCTTGCACTAATGGTTGGTAGTACACGTCTGAAACAGGGGCGTCATTTCAGTTTTTTTTTTGGGTGTGCCATTTTTAAATTTCACCAGGCCATATAAAAATATAGCGGTTCTACAAGGGGGGGTCCCCCCCAATATCCCGACTAAAATTATTTTACCTGTAGATTTTCACAACTGCATATATATGTAGATTATCCAGCTTTTATTTTTTTCAATAAAACATGAATATCAATCAGCATTAATAGTAAATAGCTATTATTTAAGAACTAAAAAATAGTAAATAATTGATTACTTTACCTGTGAAAACCATAAAAACAGGGACGGCGCGAGGGGGGGGGCAATCTGGGCAGTTGCCCCAGGCCCCGCGATTTTAAAATTATAATTAAGGCCCCGCAGTTCTGAAACGATTTCTACTGTTCAGAGCTTTTACTGAATTTCCAAAATTTTATTTATTGAAATTATAATTCGTAATAAATTATTGAATGGGATGCGGGATGGATATTTTTAGACGTCATTGCAGTGGCGACGGCCTTATCGGTGGTGGTGGTGGCCGGGAAGTATGTCCGATGGTACGGGTTTCATTGTATTCTTACTTAGTTACAACTTATAACTATTATAAGGTATTATTTTTAATACTTTTATATACGTTTCACTGTTTCGGTTTTTTACGATAATCAATATTTTATTTTATTTTACTGGTGTGCTGCGTGTGCCTGTGGGCTGTGTGTGTTTTTGTCTTTCGAACATATGAGTCTGTAGCTGGTGATGTGTTCTTTCTTATTGTGTTATTAATGTATAGAGCTAGGATTTTATTAATGACATAAATAATACACAAAAATGAACTTAAAAAATGACCAAAAAATGTACTTATATAGATGATCGAAAAAAATGTGTCTTTAAAATAAATATTATTATTTTACCTATACTACAACACTATTTAAAAAAGCTGAAAATAAACAAAAATTAGTTTAAATACATCAAAATGAACGTACAATTTGTAATATTACGTAAAAATGACCTTCAAAATGCAAAAAAATGCAAGAAAATGCAAAATAAAAATTACACATACCTACTAAATTGTTATATCACGAAACAAATTAAATTTTTATGTTAGACCTGTATAGCACTTAAAGAAAAAAATGCAAAAGTCACCAAAATCCTAGCTCTATTAATGTGGAATTGAAAGATTATTCAAGATTATTATTATTTATTAACAAATAATATTTAGTATAAATATTTAGGTATTGCCCTTAGAATTTTACTGACAATACCAGTAACTTCGGCATGTCCCCAGAGAAGCTTTTCGAAATTGAAATTAGTTGAAACATATTTGAGAAACAAATTAAGTCAAGAAAACCTTCCTAATTTCAATCGAAAAAAATAATTCTGAATCTTTAGATTATAATGATATCATAAATCAGTTTGCTGCTAAAAATCAAAAAAAGTAATGTTTTAAAAATATGTATATTAATTGTATAACTAAATAGTAAATATGTAATCAATAATTTGTATTGTTTGTTCTTTCTGTTGTATTAATTACATTAGAACATTTTTTTTAGCTAATATTATATTTCTATTACTTTCTATGTGTTTATACATGTTATAAAATTATTTTATAATATTTATTAAAATATAATAATGTATCATGTACCTATACAATTATAGTTGATAATTGATAAAATTGGTTTAGTAAGTACCTAATTAGTTTGGATAATATGTAATATAA